GCTACCATCAGTTGAGGATTAAGGTATCCGATGTCCCTAAGACAGCTTTCCGCACTCGGTACGGGCATTATGAGTTCTTGGTGATGTCATTCGGGTTGACAAATGCCCCAATAACTTTTATGGATTTGATGAACTGAGTGTTCAAGCCTTACTTGGATTCGTTCGTGATAGTCTTCATTGATGATATTTTGATCTATTCCCGTAGCCGGGAAGAGCATGAGCAGCATATGAGAGTTGTTCTTTAGACTTTGAGAGATAGTCAGTTGTATGCTAAGTTTTCAAAGTGTGAGTTCTGGTTGAGTTCAGTTGCATTCTTGGGTCACGTTATTTCAGCAGAGGGTATTCAGGTAGATCCGAAGAAGATAGAAGCAGTCAAGAACTGGCCTAGACCCGCATAAGCTACAGAGATCCGGAGTTTCTTGCGTTTGGCAGGCTATTACCATCGGTTTGTGGATGGGTTTTAATCTATTGCAGCCCCGATGACCAGGTTGACCCAGAAGGATGCCCAGTTCAGGTGGTCGGACGAGTGTGAGGGGAGCTTTCAGAAGCTCAAGACAGCTTTGACTACAGCGCCGGTGTTGGTTTTGCCCACAGGTTCAGGGCCATATACAGTTTATTATGACGCATCTCGTATTGGACTTGGTGCGGTGTTGATGCAGGATGGCAAGGTCATTGCTTATGCTTCGCATCAGTTGAAGATTCATGAGAAGAATTATCCAGTTCATGATTTGGAGTTAGCAGCCATTGTTCACGCGCTGAAGATTTGGAGGCATTATTTGTACGACGTGTCATGTGAGGTGTTCACGGATCACAAAAGTTTGCAATACTTGTTCAAGCAGAAGGAGCTAAATTTGAGGCAGAGAAGGTGGTTGGATCTATTGAAAGACTATGATATCACCATCTTATCTTATCATCCGGGGAAGGCCAATGTAGTGGCCGATGCTTTGAGTAGGAATTCATCCAGTATGGGCAGTCTTGCGTATACTCCGGTCGGTGAGAGATCGCTTGCTTTGGATGTTCAGGCTTTGGCCAATCAGTTCGTGAGGTTGGATATTTCTGAGCCCAGCCGTGTGTTAGCTTGCACAGTCGCTCGTTCTTCTTTATTAGAGCGTATCTGAGATCGGCGGTATGATAACCCTAATTTGTGTGTCCTTAGGGACACGGTGCATCACGGTGGTGCCAAGCAGGTTACATTAGGAGATGATGGAGTTTTGAGGCTGCAGGGTCGAGTTTGTGTGCCTAATATGGATGGGCTTCGAGAGTTGATTCTACAGGAGGCCCACAGTTCCCGGTACTCTATTCATCCGGGCACCGCTAAAATGTATTAGGATTTGTGGCAGGATTATTGGTGGAGGAGGATGAAGAAGGATATTGTTGCATATGTGGCTCGGTATTTGAATTGTCAGTAGGTAAAGTACGAGCATCAGAGACCTGGTGGTTTGTTCCAGAAGATTGAGATTCCTGAGTGGAAGTGGGAGCGTATCACTATGGACTTCGTTGTTGGACTCCCACGGACTCAAAGGAAGTTCGATGCAGTGTGGGTTATTGTTGATAGGCTGACCAAGTCAGCACATTTCATTCATGTGGCAATCTCCTATTCTTCCGAGAGGTTAGCTGAGATCTATATCGGGGAGATTGTTCGTCTTCATGGTGTGCCCGTGTTTATCATTTCGGACCGAGGTACGCAGTTTACCTCACATTTCTGGAGAGAAGTTCAGCGTGAGTTGGGCACACGGATCGAGTTGAGCATAGTGTTTCATCCTCAGACGGACGGGCAGTCCGAGCGTACTATTCAAATTTTGGAGGATATGCTCCGAGCTTGTGTTATTGACTTTGGAGGCTCGTGGGATCAGTTTCTGCCTTTAGCGGAGTTTGCCCACAACAACAGTTACCAGTCGAGCATCCAGATGTATGGTAGGTGGTGTCGGTCGCCAGTTGGATGGTTTGAGCTGGGAGAGGCTCAGTTGTTGGGTACGGATCTAGTACATGAGGCCTTGGACAAGTTCAGGATCATTCAAGATAGGCTTCGTACAGCTCAGTCCAGGCAAAAGAGTTATGCCGACCGTAAGGTTCGAGATGTGGCATTCATGGTCGGCGAGCGGGTGTTGCTTCGGGTGTCGCCTATGAAAGGCGTGATGAGATTTGGAGAGGGGCAAGCTTAGCCCTAGATTCATTGGCCCGTTTGAGATTCTTGATCGAGTGGGAGAGGTGGCTTACAGACTTGCGTTGCCGCTGAGCTTATCAGTCGTGCATCCAGTGTTTCATGTGTCCATGCTTCGGAAGTATCACGGCGATCCATCCCACGTGTTAGACTTCAGCACTATCCAGTTGGACAAGGACTTATCCTATGAGGAGGAGCCGGTAGCTATTCTAGATCGGCATGTTCGTCAGTTGAGATTGAAGAGTTTCCCTTCTGTTCGTGTTCAGTGGAGAGGTCAGCCTGTTGAGGCAGCGACCTGGGAGTCCGAGTCCGATATGCGGAGCCGATATCCCCATCTTTTCTCCGACTCAGGTACTTCCTTCTTATGTCCGTTCGAGGACGAACGGTTATTTTAGAGGTGGAGAATGTGATGACCCACCTCTAGAGGTGGAGAATGTTTTAGAGGTGGAGAATGATTTAAATTCAAATAAGCTACAATTCATGTACTTTTAAAACTCTATAGATTACGGAGATCCATATATTTTACCAGTAAAATTCAAGTCAATTGTATTTTTACTACATACGTGAAGACGTAACACATTCAAACAAAATAAGGTTTAACATGGACAAAAACATATAAGCGTTTGTTTGAAGTTCTTAAAAAATGTTTGTTTTAGCTTTATTTTTCTTCCTTTTTTTTTGTTGCAGAAAAAGTTATATTTTCGGAAGATTTCGTAAGTCAATTCCTTGAATTTTACAAAATTCAGAAAATAATGATAAAGAAACTAGTAATAAAACAAGTGAAGGAAATATTTTTTTTCTTCGAAAATTCAAAAACTAAACCTCAAATAAATGCCGCTCAAAATATGAAATACTACTAATAATGTACCCAATTTTGATAGTTGACCAGTGAATGCCCAGCTAGCGTTTCCGTGGTGTGGCCTCCACCAATAATAGGATAATTGGTCCCTTGATTTTGAATTGGAAGGCACGCAACAAATTAAATCCAGTTCTTTTACTAACGACAAAAAATAACGGACTCTTCTAATTTTGCCATTCTTTAAACTATTCTTTTTTATTGATAATTCAAAATTGTTGAATCATTGCAGCAATTAAATTAATTAAAAATATTGGAATTGCTATTAAATTGCATTTTATTTCACTTCAGACACTCGATCACAAGTTTGCTTTGTTAGAAGAAGGCAAGAAGCTAACCACTTGGATTCTTTGCATGTGAAACCTGAAATTGTTTTTGTCTCGTATTGCTTTCTGTATTAGTTAAAGGTTAAGTGTTTGAGAAAATGGTTTAGGCGGAGAAAAAGTTAAGATTTCGATTTTTCAAAGGGGAAAAAAATAAAATTTACTTGAATTTGGTTTCACCTTTATTACAACCCTAAATAAAAAACATATTTGAATTTATCACATATATTAAAATGGGTTCGTTGATATGTTAGAATTTTTTTTGGTGTTATGACTTTTCCCCATAACATGCTCTCCCTATGGAGAATTTCACTTGAAAACAAACATATATTGTTTTATCGAGAAAAGATAAAATGCATTATATATGAGGTGAAGCCGTTCTATTCCTTGACTTGAGCATCGAAACGTTTAGCCACATAACAAAGTGAAAACCTTTGTGAATTAAAAACTTAGAACCGAGGTGATAGACCACCTTATGGCCGATGTGATTACCAGCCAACGGGTAAAAAGACGGGGTTGAATGCGATTCTACCAATATCAATCTCCTCTGGAGCTGGTGATTAGCCTATCCCTCACTACTCGAAGCCTTCGTAAACTCATTGTCGGTTTCTATCGTAGTGGAGGTTGCTGTGAGGAGATCCTTGAACCCGTTTGGACATAAGAAATTTTTTCTTTTTTTTTCAAATTTATTTTACTTTATTCCGAAATTAGTATTTGTTCATAAAATTTACAATTTTCAGTTGAAGATTCATTTTGAAAAGTTTCGAAAATTTGAAAAATTCCAAAAATTCACTCAAATTACTCACAAAACTTCAAATATAACCCAAAATTATATTCATGTCCAAACACAACTCAAAATTTCAAATACCATTTTCACTTGAAAAAAAATTTCACCCTTTTTTAGAATTTTACAATTCTTATGTCCAAACACCCACTTATACAAATTTTGTCATGCCACCATTTCAAATTTTTATACGAAAATATATACGAGGTCCTCCTTTAGGTTAAAACTTAAGATTTACCACAAAATAATATATCTCAATACTGAATGTATGATTTTTATATAATGGATGTGAGGTAATACTTCAACTGCTAGTTTGTAAAGATATACGTCATGTATTTATTTGATTGGTGTACACATTCGATTCGAATAAATAAACTGAAAAGCCATGCTAAAATCTCTCTTTCTTTAACATTTGTAACTATGTAAGAAAGAAATTATTTGCCTTAGAGAGTTTCTTTGAGAAAACAACAACACCGACCCAGTAAAATCTCATAAGTACAATCTTAGTAGGGTAGTGTGTACGCATACTTTATCCCTATCTCGAATGAGTAGAGATACTGTTTTCTTTGAGAAACTGTTTGCAAATAATTATTATTGAAGAAGTATTCTGAAAAACTAAAATGTACTAATGATTTTCTTGAAAGTTACTGCCCATTCATTTTACGGTTTTTTGTTGAATATCTCATCATAGTAGGTGTTTGGACATAAAATTTGTAATTTTTGAAAAATTATAGTATTTGGAATTAAGTTTAAAAATGTTATTTTATTTTTTTGGTAGAAAAAATGTTATTTTATGGACAAAGGGAGCCTTAGTATTATACAATCCCTTGAGACAGAACTAAATAAAGAATATACTTTTGCGAGTATTTTTCCCCCATAAAATTTACAGTGAAGTATTTCTATATCTGAAAATTTATACTACTCAAAAGTTCACTACTAGAGACAAAATCACAAAATCCCTAAACGCAATTGCGAAGCAGACAAGGAGGGAGAGAAGACTAGCAACTCAGGGTTTGCTTTTCACGGCTTGAATCGCCACTGAGGTAACACTATTTTCCAACTCTATCATTTTTATCCTCAAATCCATACTCTCCCAGCAAGAGTCGATCTTTTGTTTTGTTTTCTGCATCCTATATTGTTCGAATCGGATCTGGTGAAACCCAATTGAAAAAAAGATTCGATCCGTAGCTCGATGTACCCTGTTGGAAGTGTATCCATCAATCAGAATTGCACATTCCTAACTTCTATGGGGAATTTTACAATATAAATGCACGCCAAACTAGACAAGAATTTAAGTTTAGGGTTGAGAATTTTCGAATTTTGCGTTGATTGAAGTCAATTTGGGTTTGGAAAGTGGGAACATCCAGTGTGGTCAGGTGAATGCAGCTCAATTAAAATCGGGTTATCTGGGGTTTAATTGGACCACGTTCGTTGGCTTCAGCTAGGTGGGATATCTCGGATTTGATGCAATGGTTGAAATAGCGGAATCTTCAGAATCTGGGTCTGGGTTATTGAATTCAACAGTGGTAAAAATTGGATCTTTGCCTGAAGATGATAGTTTTCACAGGCAAGTTAGTAGCTTTGGAAGTAGTGGCTCCAGGAATACAAGCCCATTAGGGCGTATAGGTTCAAGAAACACGAGTCCTTCAAGGCAGAAAGTGGTTAAGACGAAACCAAGGGGATTGGATGAAGAGACTGTTACCACATTTGCGAAAGCTGTTCAACCGGATGTTCAGATGGAAGATAGTATCTGGGCGATGCTTCCGGAGGATTTGCTGAATGAAATATTAGCCAGAGTTCCACCATTCATGATATTTCGACTCCGATCTGTTTGTAAAAGGTGGAATTCGATTTTGCAAGATCATAGCTTTTTGAAGTTTCACTCGCAAGTGCCCTCCCATGGACCTTGCCTTCTCACATTTTGGAAGAACTCACAGACCCCTCAGTGTTCGGTATTCAGTTTGCCACTGAAGCAGTGGTTTAGAATACCATTCACCTTCTTACCACAGTGGGCGTTTTGGCTAGTTGGTTCTTCGGGCGGTCTCGTTTGCTTCTCAGGGTTAGATGGGTTGACGTTCAAAACTTTAGTTTGTAATCCCCTTACACAGACTTGGAGGACATTGCCTAGCATGCATTATAATCAGCAGAGGCAGTTGATTATGGTTGTTGATAGAAAGGATAGGTCATTTAAAGTTATTGCCACTAGTGATATTTATGGTGACAAGTCTTTGCCAACAGAGGTATATAATTCAAAGATCGACAAATGGTCGCTTCACCAGACAATGCCTGCTGTAAATCTTTGCTCCTCCAAGATGGCATTTTGTGATTCAAGGCTATATTTGGAAACTCTCTCCCCACTTGGTTTGATGATGTATCGACTGGATACAGGGCAGTGGGAACACATCCCTGCTAAGTTTCCGCGCTCATTGTTGGATGGGTACCTAGTTGCTGGCACTCACAAACGTCTATTTCTGGTTGGAAGGATAGGCCTTTATAGTACTCTTCAAAGTATGAGGATATGGGAACTAGATCACACAAAAGTCGTCTGGGTTGAGATAAGCAGGATGCCTCCCAGGTACTTTCGTGCACTTTTAAGACTATCTGCAGAAAGATTTGAATGCTTTGGACAGGATAACCTAATATGCTTCACATCCTGGAACCAAGGCAAAGGCCTTCTTTACGATGTCGATAAGAAGGTCTGGTCTTGGATTGCTGGGTGTGCTCTTCAATCATATAACAGTCAAGTCTGCTTCTATGAGCCAAGATTTGATGCTTCAATATACTAAAGTAGTGCTTAACTTAAATATTCAACATACTTCTTACGGGGGACATGAACTATCTGGATGATTTAGCAATCTTGTTTCCTTCAATTTCCTTCTGCCTGCTGTTCACCATTGAACTCTCCTTAAGCTAGATTCTCAAGCTTATATTTTACCCACCTTAATCTATCTGGTTATTAGTTTTGAACTCGTGTGCAAATTACGCTAGTTAACTGAAGTGAGTAATTGGATGAGGTTTCCTTCTGAACATTAATGGCCTCAGTAGTGTTCAAGGAGGAGGACCCTTGCTTGGACAAGGGATCATGATGGCCTGAGTGTTGGGCGCCTTCTTGAGATAACCATGAGGATGCACAATATGGAGTACAGATGTAAGATAAATTTTTGTTCCAGCTTATGTACATTGATTTTCTCCTTGTAATTAATTAGCACATACATGTTGCTTTTCTCAACTGAAGTAACAAAAGAGTGTCTCTTCATCTTACATCTTTGCTCTTTGTTATCTCACACTATCAATAGTCTCTCTTATGGTTGTCTTTGTTGCTCTGTTCTTTCTGTGATTGATGCTTTATGTTTCCCCATATCCATCCTTAGCTTCAGCTTACATTGCTCTGATGCTTACTGTTAGATATATATGAAATATTTTTAGATCCTCTCAGACATCGTTTTGTCCGTATATTATCCTTATCAATCCCAATTAAGCTGTCACGTTTCACTTTTTCAGGGTCAATACTTATTGAGATTAGACGATGGATAAACTTTGTCCTTTTAAAATTGAATTTGGAGACCCAGAAACTATCTGAAACAATTATAAGTGATAAAATCTACCAAAAAATAAAAAGTAAAAGAACTTATTCAAATAAGCGTGGTTGAATATCAGGTTGCAAAAATATACATTCTTTGGGGCTCAGGAAGCACTCATTTAATTACATACTTTACTTCCGGAAATAATGTTTGTCCTCATCTGTTGAATTAGGTTGTTATTTTCCCCCCACGTTGATGAGTTTTCTTCGCTCCTTTTATTTATATTTTATATTCTTCCCATTTCCTGGTCAGTTGAACATTCTTGCACGAATCATGTTTTTGATCACTTGATATACTGGCTTGGAGTAGAATCTCTTTCAAATAGCTTCTGGTCTGTACAAATTCGCTTCCTCTCCTTGTTTGTTTTTCCTTCAAGGTTGCATTTGTAGTACTTTGGTAATTAGGCCAAGTATGAACTAAGAGAGTGAAAAACCATATTAACTCTAAGAAATGCATAATCTAGTCCGTTACTCCTTTTTATTGTCCTTTTCTTTTGGTGGCTAGAATTTAGTTAAAAGCAAGGTCTAGAAGTCTCAGACCCTACAGCAGGCAGAATATCTGAGATTTCGGGCAAAACGTGCAAGACTTATTAGGTTTATATCATAATCTGGCCAGAAATCAGTTCCTCTATTTCCTTTCTCTGGAATCATTATGTAGCTGATGCTTCAATTTGTTGTGGAGCTGGAGCAGCAGTCTACGATCTTTTGACCTAAGATTTAGCTGTATGACGCTACGGGAACCTCATGTTGGATTTAGGATCTGATTTTATAGTTGACTGAGGAAAATTTTTCTTCTCTTCTAAGGGCAGCCCTTCCACTGTCTTCCGTAGTTCAGCACGAAGCTGAATCATGTACCAAAAGCCCATTTTGGGGGAGTCCCTCACTATACCACCAAGGCACCAACAGGAGCAGAGTTAGTACTAATAATATAGCATCATTATCGACCTCATACTAAGTTGAGGGAGGAGATTTCTAGAATCACAAAATTGGGTTTGTTCACTGAATTTGGGACTTTTAAGAAGAAAGACTTCACTAAGGTTTCCACAAACAACCCAATGGAAATTAAGCTTTTGATGGGTGGGTTCGTTTGTTCCTGAATAATATCCTTCTTTCCGGTAAATGATATGGTTTCCTTAATCCTAGCAATTTGCTTGGTAACTAGATGCAGAATGTATGAAAATTTTGGGTGCAGAATTCCCAATTTGTTTGATTAGTTTCCAACCAAATGGTCTTAAAAACCAATCACGGGTAAGTCTAGATCCAAGGACTTGAAGCTATACCACTTTGGCTTTAGAACGCATTCCAAGCACATGGTTAATATGCTTCTCTGTTTGTAGCATCTTTTGCATGATCGTAGCTATCGAAATGCAATTCATGTCTTAAGCACATGTATCAACTCTGCTAAAATGTACTAGCCAGATTTCCAGATAAAAAAGTTTTACTAGCCAGATTTCCTGATAAAAAAGTTTTACTAGCCAGATTTAAAAGGAAAAATGTGAACTTCTGAGGATAATTAATTCTCCAAACTAGTCTAGTTCCAGGACTAAGTGACTGTTGAAGTCGGATCAAACAGTTGAAGTTCCACCAGTTGATACACATAATAGAGAGGGACGTCAAATCATGTGAAGATTTGAGAATATGTTCCAAGATTTTTTTTTCTTCATAATCTCTTCCGCTGGAAGAGTTTTAATCTGATCAAATCCCATTTCTAGGAGCAAGAATATCAGCCACAGTTAGTTAATCAAGTCTCCAATAGGGATCTGTGGAAGGCGGAAGCATAAGGGTAGTTTCTTCCCATCTATGACATTCCACTTTATTTCTCACTTGATCTCATCCTTCACATTTATTATTTCTTACCTAGTTTAGCTGTCGTGGTAATTTGGCCTTGAGATGTTAAGACATTTTTCTCCAAATAGTTATCTTTCATGACTTTCAACCTAGTATTTTCTCATTCTTTGTCCCTTTTAAGCAGGCTTTGGCCAGTATAGAGTATGTTAGCACGTCTGGTGGGGTTGAGCCTTGATGTTAGTACTCCTCCCCCTCACCCTCACCCCAATCCTTTGATTTGACAGCATATACTTTGTTATTATTGATACAGTGACCACAAGTTGTGTCAACTTTGTTGTAAGTATGGGAATTTATTCTGCTTATCAGTGTTCATAAAGGATTCTGGTACAGGAATTCTTTTCTTCTTTTAGACAGCTTTTACATGAATCTTCTTTGAAAACAATTCCTTAAAACCGTCCAAATGCAAAGCCTAACGATTAAACACCATTTTAGTTCATATCAAATTCTGAAGAAATATCCACTTGGAAGAAAATAAGTTGCATGCATCCCACTTGGAAGAAAATAAGTTGCATGCATCATATGGTTGTATTTGACTGTATTAGCTATGATATGTGAAAGACAAGCAGCTGCGGCGGTGTTCGCTGTTTCAGTTCAGCTCATTTTCTCCATTCCCATATTTTTTTTCCTATTCATTACATGTTTTTTAAGAGGAAGGTCAGAGTAATGACACCTTGACACCCCAAAGTTCATCGTTAGGAGTATATTGAACATTATAAATTTGTATTCATATTAACATTGTAGTTGCCCAACGATTAAAGTAGGTTAGGTACAATCTTATTTTACCACTATCTGTTAAAGATATTTGTGTTTTTTGGAATCTATTCTGCTCGTCATGGTGGAAAACTGACACGTGGTTAAGGTAAAAAACTGGGACAAGGGCATTGGTACTCGTAGCCTTACTCTTTCTACACGTGTCTAATCCTTTCTTGGGATTTAATTCTCCCCTAATTGTCCTAATTTCGTATCACGAGCAAATGCAATTCTTTCTCATGCATTTACCGTATCTTTGTCATTTCCTGCCTATAAAGTGTTTGTTTTTCCAATAGTTTGTCAAAATTCAGTAAAAGGAAAGTCAAGTGGAACCAGCGGGGAAGGAGCTAAGAAACCTAGTTAGAGCAGAAAACCACACTGTTTTCGAGGGAATCCCACAAATCTGAATAAGTTGGAGGATTGTGTCATAAAGCTCCTTTCAGTAACTAGTTATTTCTTCTTTTAGCAATTCCATGCAAAGATCACTAATAACAACGTACTTAATACCCTTTCTTTTTCTTTTTTTACTCCTCCGTCTCATTTTATACGATACACTTTAATTGGATACAGAGTTAGAAAGAAAGACTTTTGAAACAAGCCAAAGATTTTTATACGATACACTTTAAAGTTAGAAAGAAAGACTTCTGAAACTTGTGATCTAAATAAGTTAAAGATATTTATGTAGTTGTAAATCAAATCATTTCATTACAGATGAAATGAAACGTTTATAATTAAGTTGTCTTTAAATATTAAAAGATATCAAAAGTGCATCATACAAATTGGGATAGAGGAGTATCCTTTTCATCTATTTTGGGAAAAATTGAAAAAACTACCCACCATCCAAGGCATGGCTATTTGTTTATTGTTTCACACACTTTTTTACTTAAAGCTGGTAATCGAATCTTTGACTCAAGTCTGAGGTACATTTGCTGATAACTCCGAATCCGTTAATTATATACTGATCTGCATGCAGCATTGCAGCTAGCTAGTGTGTCTAATTCGTTTTGCTTTGTTTCAATAAGGACGCGTAACAGCTCATCTTCTCTTATAAATTACTGACAAATTGTATTAAAGGTGAAAAAAGAAGTTTGACTTGTTCAAAGCTTAGCACGCTGTAATACAACTGTATATCTGTGCCTAGAAAATCCCACCACCTTTGCTTTAGTTCTCAAATATATATAGCCTCTTTTGCCGAGCTTCTCCAATTCTAGAAATACTTTTAAAAGTTGAAGTTTTTGGCCAAATTTTTAGAAGAAAAATAAGTATTTTTGAGGAGAAGCAGAAAAAAATATCTTCTCTCCAAAAATATTTTTTTGAAAAAAAAATAATGAGAATCAGTTTTTAAAAGCTTGGCCAAACACTAATTGCTGCTCAGAAGTAATTTTCAAATTAATTAGTCAAACACAATTTATTTCTCACCAAAAGTACTTTTGAGAAAAGCACTTTTAAGAAAATCACTTCTCAAAATAAGCCGAGAAGTACTCTCGAAAGCCGATATTATGTGAATATTTAATAATTAAAACTTGTATAATTATAAAAATTAATTATTTAATTTACAAACAAACATATAAAATTATAAAACTAACATGAAAAAAAGCTTGAGAATTTAACAAGAAGAAAAATTTATCAGGAGTTGAGAATATTTCTGAATGAATTTTTGCAAAACCCTTAACACCTTTAAATAAGGCAATGCCCAATCCGAGGGGTCGAATTTTTTGAAGTAAAATACTTTTTAAAAGAGCGTTTTACCCATTTGAATTATTGTTATGTCAGTTAAGCGCAGAAGAGTTATCGGTGGGCCCAAAAAATAGGTAAAGCGTGGTTTGAAAAGGCGTTTTATAAAAACGTTATTTTGAATTGCACTTTACCTTAACGTCCGCGGTTTAAAACCGTGTTTCATATAGTTTGGTCACTAAGTTTTTTTTCCACCTATTTCGGTATTTTGAATCCAAAAAGACCACAATTGGGTTTCGGACTTATTAAAACCTCCGCGATGGAAGAGGATTATATAGTTGTCAGCAAACAGAGAGATTCTGATTATAATGAATCCTCTAGTTAAATACTTTAGTTGTATATATTAGCC